TTTTGTAAAAATAAAGAGGATCAGTGCACTAACTTATATCCAATTAAAGCTGGATTACCCCAGGGTAGTGTCCTTGGACGTGGTCTCTAGCTAATTTACACAGCAGATCTTTCTACAAGTCAAAACATCGTCACAGCCACATACGCAGACGACATAGCAATTCTTGCGGCTCATTCAAACTCGTATACCGCCTTACAACTGCTCCAAACCAATCTCGACAAAATAAATTTTTCGTTACAAACATGGCGAATTAAAGTTAGCAAAAGCAAATCAGTACATATAACGTTAACTAATCGAAAAGGTACATGCCCAATCGTTTTATTAAATAACCAAATACTACAACAAAAGGTTGATTTAAAATACTTAGGTACGCACCTGAACCGCAGATTAACGTGGAAGAAACACATAATCACGAAAATAAAACAGTTGGATCTGAAACTCAGTATAATGTACTGGCTAACGCTAATAGCACACACACCGATTTCAGACGGTCGATTTTTTACCGGCCGTCCAAATTCCAATAGTGAACCATATTAGACCATAGAGAACAGGACATTGCACACAGGCCGACCGCTTATCGGTAAAATGCCGGTGAGCGGACGTTCACTGCCACTGTATCGCCGGCACGACCGGGACGTATTGGCGTACGTGACTAAATACAGTATTGCACACACACATCGATTTTTTATCGGCCAATTCGACTGATCAGTGAAATCTTAGGTACATTTTAATTTAAGTTTTGGTAGTGCTTGGTATAATTGATATAATTACGATTGCAATGGATGATTTTCTTGATAATGATGTCCTTATTTCGTTAGTGGAGGCAAGACCTAAAGAAGCTGAAAAACTTACTACCATCACGCGCTAGTTCTTCAAAAAGACTGTAAAATGTTCCCGTGTTTTCTCTGTTTTGATTGATAGGATGAATCCACCACTTGAGTTTAATCCTACGACGCTTAATACGGCGATACAAATATGTAATAATATTATTATTATTCATAATAACATTATTATTCAACAACCTCGTGTTACGACAACAAAGAAACTAATTATTTGACCGGTAAAAATCCGGTGCGTTTGCAAGCATCTGCTACCAGTAAAATATCGGCCGATTTTATGCTGGCCGTCCAAAAACGGTCTGTGTGCAATTACACTAATGGTATTTGGACGACCGGTATAAAACCAGCCGTCCAAAATCGGTGTGTGTGCAACTCACCTAATAGAAAAAAATCACAACTGAATGTGTACATAAAATCCTAGTATAGTCAGTGATTAAGCCAATATAGAGCTATTATTATGATGAGGCAAATTGTGTTTAAAATCCTTTCTGTAAAAGTTATATCTGGCTATTACTTAATTTAGTATCTGTTTTTATAACTAAATTTATACATCTATTGAAAAAATTATGGTTCGAAAAACTTTTTGTGTAATGAATATTGGGTTTTTTACTATCGCAAATTAGATTATTTAGTTTTTTACACTGTGTATTAAATATTTATCTATTATATTATTTATAATAATTCTCAAGTTAGAATCTATTATGTCAAATTCTATAATATTTAAGATATCCATTTTGTTTAATGGTGGTATATATTGTTTTCAGACAATGATTTTTGTTACAAATCCACATTTGTACCATATTATGACATAACTTTTAAACATGACAAAGAATTAGTTATTGTGGGTTTCCTGGATGCAGAATACCTCACATTTTGTGTTCTTGCAGAATTCTGATAAGATGTCTTGTTTGGCTGTAGTGATGCCCCCGATATTTATGCTCGCTACTGTCAGTGTTGGCTCTGAGAAGAACCATTGTGGCTTGATCTTTGCCATCTGATTTGGTTTGGACCGGTGTTGGAAGGATTAGCCGTCTATTAGTAGACGTTTCCAGGGGACGTCGTCAATAGTGTTTACTTTGCAGTTGATGTGGCACTATTGATCTTGTGGAGACTCCTTCCTTGTCCTCCCGTCCTCCAACAGGGAAGTGTTTCAGCAGCAATGCTCTTCAATATATACACAAACGACCAACCTACTCCGACCGAAACCAAGCACTTCCTCTATGCTGACGATCTTGCAATATGTGCTCAAGGAAATACTTTTGAAGAAGTGGAGGAGAAACTCGAAACTGCCTCAAAAACAACGACAGCGTACTACCTGCAGAATTCTCTGAGACCCAATCCCTCTAAAATCCAAGTCTGCACTTTCCACCTTCGCACAAAGGAAGCCAAGCGAAAACTCAAAACTATGTGGAATGGTAATACATTAGAACACACAAACCAACCTATATATCTTGGAGTAACTCTGGACCGGCCCCTCACCTACAGACAACATTGCATAAAAAGGGACAAACAATCCCCGAGAGGGAAAGTAACAACTAGGAACAGCATACTCAGAAAGACAACGGAAAAAAAATGGGGCACACGTCCTGGCGTTTTAAGAACAACGGCACAGGCACTGTGTTTCTCAACTGCTGAATATGCATGCCCCGTTTGGAGCAGATCTGCCCACACCAAACAAGTTGATACTGCGCTAAATGAGACATGCAGGATAGCAACGGGGTGCATAAAACCAACGCCACTTTCAAATCTATATAGAGCAGCGGGTTTTACAGAACCCTCAACATGCAGAGGCACTGCAGAACACATAGAGAAAATTAAACATATTGCGGATGAGCGGCATGCCTAATACAAAGCTCGAACACCACGAAAGCGACTAAAATCTAGGAAAAGCTTCCTTGGAACAGTGCAGGATGAACCGCCTGAGTATTTTCCACTTCCCCAGGTTCAATGGACCGGCCAGACCCTAGATTTTAAAACGTGGAAAACTTTAAATAGGATAAGAACGGGGGTCGCTACAGTAAAATCAAACATGGCAAAATAGGGAAAAATAGACCAAGAGGATGTGAACTGTGACTGTGGAGAAACACAGAATATGGAACATCTTCTTACATGCAGAAACTGTCCTCATCGATGTACCCTTGAAGATTTGTGGCTCGCCAACAAAGATGGAACCTACGTAGCCCATACTGGGCCGAAATTTTATAAATGACATATCCGGACACGATAAAATAAAGTAAGTATTAGTTATTGTTATTGAGAAGTAGAATAAATTGAAAATTATTATTTTCTTTTGAAATTGCAATAAACGTAGAAATAATAAGAACATATCGTCCTCGTTTACTAACTTTAGCAAGGAGATGAGTTTTCTGTTAACAGGTACTTGGACCTCTTGATTAGACGGGACTTGATTTGACTATACAAAATAGAAATGTGTGTTCAAATATATAATTTCTATACATTATCAATACGTTCTGAAACTGATTTATGACGGATAAACTTTTTTCTTGTGGACTGACTATATGCCAAAATATGTATGTCTTAAAAAATATTTACACATGATATTCACATATTTAGATCTAGATCCCAGTCTCCCCCAACCATGCTTACCTTGACCAAACCGTCGTATTGAATTTATTAAATTTGAATCTAGTATGACCGGCTGTCATTTCCATAATATATCGACTATGTATAGTATCAGGGCTGCCCGCAAGTCCCCACACCAAATCCCTCAAGCAGACCTTCCTACCCCCATATACACCCCTTTAGGCACGTGTTTTCGTAATGAAGTTGATGTGTGGTCGATGTTCATATACTTTAATGACGAGACCTCAATCTGGCGATGATTATGACAGAAACTCGTGTATCTGAGATAAATGTAAATATTTTGATGAAGTTTTTTGCTTACTGAGTTATTGGTCGTTACTACACTATTTACAGGTGAGAGGTTTACTTTTAAAAAGACGCTTAGAAACGAAATATGCTGACAATTTTTTTTTTTCATTTCTACCTCACTAATTCTTTTTATTAGATTTTACATACTTTTCCAAGTTTAAATGTCAAGAGGGTTGTCAAAATGACACGCCCCTTCGATGAAGATGCATTTGAATTACATTTAAGTTATTATTATACTGTTTTAATTTGTTGTTTATAGTGTTTGTTCAATAAAATAGTGAAATTCTTAAAATCCTTCACTACAAGTTCTTCCAGGGTGTTTACATGTTTTATGAATTTTTAAAAAAACTTTCAAGTGATGTAGGGCTGGCTCTAAAGCAACATTTCTATATAAAAAAATATCGATAACGTCATTGCGTCATTGCACTCCATCGAAAATCTATGGAGAAGCTATGAGCATATTAACATGTGTATTAAAAACGGCGTAGGTAGGTGTGGCTAACGATAATACCAATATGGCGGTGGGATCATGGCCGGACTCAATAATATTAAAACTACTATAAAAATATGGCTAGTTATTTAGAAGATTTAATCATAATCTAAAAAGTGCAATACATTTTTAATAAACTATGATTTATTTATCCCGCGGTAAGCACTAAAAACACAATATATTATACATAACGATAAATTAATACAGTTAAATACTATTAATTTATTCTCTGAAGTACGGGCCATTACTTTGTTTACATATTTGTATAATAACCTGTACAACGTTATTCCTGAAGATTGTTTATTAGCATTGCTTCTGCTACTGCAACTACGTTGAGAACAAGAAACTATTATTATGCACATTATTATCACAATATATTATTACAGTTTCTATAAAAGTATTATAAAACTTAAAATATTTGAAAAACAACAAACGTAAATAAACTTATACGATCTGTCGAAAGTGTCAAAACAATATTAACAATAGTATTAACAATATGGCCGAAGTGAGGTCGTTTTTAGTCACATGATGCCCTCTCCACGGATTCTAACTCGATGTTGCACTCACATATATGACTCAAAAATAAAAAATTCATCTAAGAGAACGCAAATTTAGAAACAAAAAATCGACGGGATTCACGATTTTTCTCTAAAGTCAACTGTTTTTAAAAAATTAATTTCTTTAATTTGCACCAGACTGTATAACATAATAACTAAAATTGCTAATATAATTTATAGTTAAATGATTTAAATCTTAGTTAAAACATAATATATACTTACTGTTTTACATTGCTTTGAAAACCTTGCAACCTTCGATTTAAATATACTACTTGTGTACATTTTGCATGATTTCACATCTTGGATACTATACGCCTGAGGCGAAGGCACATTGAGTAGGTCCTTCGAGAATTCTATCGTTTCTCTAAGAGCGGATTTTCCAAACGGCGGTTTGAACACAGAATATTCTAGACTCTTCTCCAGATGTTCACTTATTGCACCCTTAATTGAGTATTCAGCAGGACCTGTTGGAAAGCCATCAGTGTAATTATTTGTATAAATTAATAACATACTTGTAAACATGACCGATAAATGAAAGTAAAAGGGTGAAAATACAAAGGGTTAGTAGTCTAAATTAAGAAAAATGCCAGTAAACAGATTTTCTTTTAATTTCACTACTATTACACCTAGTAAACATCGTATATAGAGATGCTTATACGGTACTCCAATTGATATAAATTTCATAACTTCTCCTTAACCGGAAATTTTGATAAGGCTATGATATCAATGTCTTTTAAAGAAATTCACTTAATGTCTTTCTTTTTTTTTTAAAGAAAAGCAAATTTTTTTATTTAATTAATGGTTTTGGATAACTTGATCCATTCAGCCACGATCATGTATTTGACTACTTCAATTTGTTAATGATATATTGACCTATTGCATTTGTTAACAAAATAGTACTTCGCATAGAGGTAAATTAAAAATAAATTGTAAACATCACTATCACAAGAGTCAGCAGATTGACAAGAAACCATACTTTCATTTGTTCCATTCAAGGCCCTAACCAACTTAAAGTGAATATTTAGAACCAACAAGGGATTACATAATATAGAGATACTTTTCACGCTGAGATGCCTTTCATAGCGACTTTAATACAAGATAAGAGAGGAAACAACCAGGAGGTAAATATATAACATATGGATACACAGAGTGAACAAAGCTAGATTTATATATTCACATTACACATTCCATCTTAAATTTTCTTTTTAAATATTCCCAAAAAATTTCGTTAAGCCTAATATTATGATGAAAGATATATAAAACAGAAGATTTACACTGAGGAAGAGGTATTTGTTCTTTTATCAGATTTTCCAATAGATACTTAATAGCAGCATCATTATATATGCACCCGAACACATCATTATATATGAATGATATCGTCAGTGTTACCATTATAATCGCAAAATTCTGTGTCACTTAAATTAAATCTATGAAGATTGGCTCTCACACTAGCATGATTAACAAGACATCTAGCAAATATTAAAAATACTCTTTTATTGGGATGACCTCTTGCGGCAAAAGGCGCAGTAGGTAAAACAGGGTGAATTTTTGTATAAAGGTTGATACCAGCATGTCCTTTTACCCAAATGAAAGAGACTGAATTATTTCTTTTAAATAGCTTTAGTCGATTTTCTAAAATTTTGACGATAATACTGTTTTTGTATAAATGGTTATGCGAATTATATAAAGTAGACAACGCAATTTTGAATCCGACAGGATTACTATTTATTGATCAGCCATTTTGTTCTCAATAGTCCATTTCAGAGCTTGATATATTGCAGGAAAAGCAACTTGAACTTAATGTCTTAGACAAAGTAAATTTAGTATAACCCCTTTTATCTATTATAAGAACGGTAAGTTCTAACTCACACATGTATTTTGTAGTGACTGATACTATCCTGTTATTGCCCTGTTTTAAAATCTGGTTTCATCATCATCATCATCATCATCCAGCCTCTATTTATCACGTCCACTGCTGGACATAGGCCTCCCTTAAACTCCTCCATTCCTCACGATTTTGTGCTCTTTGTTGCCAATTTTTAGTGATACGCCTGATGTCGGCCCAACGTGTAGGTGGTCTTCCTCTACTGCGTTTGTCTGCTCTTGGCCTCCAATTTGTAATTTTGCTCGTCCATCGTGAATCGTGCATTTTCGCTACATGGCCTGCCCAGTTCCATTTTAGTTCCGCTATGCGTTCCACAAGATCAGTAATACTCGTCCTTCTTCGCAGATCTTCGTTTCTTATTCGGTCCCTCAACATCACTCCCAGCATAGACCGTTCCATTCGTCTCTGTGCCACTCTCAGTTTCGAAGCCGTGGTCTTGGTTAAAGTCATAGTTTCCGCCCCATAGGTCATGACCGGTAATACGCATTGGTCAAACACTTTTCTTTTGAGGCTGATTGGTATGTTGGCCTTAAGTGTGTCTCGCAGTTTTCCAAAGGCTGCCCATGTTAAAGTAATTCGTCTTTGGATCTCACATGTTTGGTTATCCCTGCTGATTCTTATTTCATGACCCAAATACGTATATTTCTCCACCAGTTCTACCGCTTTGTCTTGAATAGTCAAATGGTTATTGGGGACCAAATTTGTCATAAACTTAGTTTTGGTCAAGTTCATTCTCAGGCCCACCTTCGAACATGCAAAATCCAATTCGTTTAACATATCTGTAGCTTCTCCTAAATTATCTGTGATAAGGACAATGTCATCTGCGAAACGGAGATGGTTAAGCTTTTCGCCGTCTATCGTTACTCCTCTGTGGTCCCAATTGATCATCTTAAAGGCATATTCTAATGCCGTTATGAATAATTTCGACGACAATGTATCTCCTTGCCTTATTCCACGATTTATTTTTATTGGTCGGGTTTTATTGTCTATTTTAACAGTCATAGTGGCATTTTTGTAAATATTATAAATAAGCTCACTATACCTATGGTCAATCCTGCTGTCATTCATTGCTTCTATAAGGCTGTCTAATTCGATCGTATCGAACGCTTTATGGAAATCTATGAAAGTGAGAACAAGAGGTTTGTTATATTCTATAGATTTTTCAATGAGTGTCTTTACTGTGTAGAGGTGATCATTGGTACCATAATTTGAGCGGAATCCTGCCTGTTCTCTCGGTTGGTAGAAATCTAATTTTTTCTCCAATCTTGATGTCACTACCCTAGTAAAGAGCTTGTATATGTGGTTCAACAGGCTAATAGGTCTATAATTTTCTAGGTCCGTTCTATCTCCTTTTTTATGCAAAGGATGGTTGTAGCATTGTTCCACTCTTTGGGTACCTCTCTTTGCTGCAAACATAGATTGAATAGTTTCCTTAATTTATTTAATAGCATATCTCCTCCATTTACGATAGCTTCTATTACGATTCCATCCTCTCCTGGGGCTTTGTTATTTTTCATTTTTCTTAATGCTTGTCGAATCTCATCTAGCTTTATCTCTGGCATTAGTTCGGAACCTTGATTCTTGATCTTCTTTGAAATGGCTGTTTGTATTCCTGTTTTATCTTCTCGTCTACTTTTATATAAGTCCTCGTAAAACTCTTCGACGACCTGTATTAACTCGTCTCTACGTGATATTATTTCATTTTGCTTGTTTCTTAATTTATGAATTTCGCATTTCCCATTCGTTAGCTTTCTACGTAGAACTTTTAGGCTGTTATTTTTCTCTATAGTGCGTTTAATATAATCGGTATTAAATTTCTTTAAATCTCTCCTAATTGCTTTCGAAACAGTTTTGTTCATTTTTCTTAAAGTCTGGTTTACTAGTTATTAAATATATGATACAGCAATTCTAGAATGTTCTAAATATAAACATTGTCATCATCGGTTTTACAACTCTAAGTTAGTCTTCGTCACATTTACCATTTTCTTACACTCTTGATGGTCTTGTGCGGTTATTTATCTGTCAATGTGGCTAGGTTTATGGATTATTATTATATTAGCAATTTTCCATTGAGTTGGTACAATTTTAAGCCTTAGTGAGGCATTGAAAAGTTGTGTTATCCTAACTATTCCTTTATCTGGTAACTATTTTAAGATAGTTCCTGTTATAAGGTCATAGTTGCTGTTATAAGGTCATAGTCTGGAACTTTTTTGGTACTGGCAACCTGGCTGTTGAATTGCCGCTAATCTTTTGTCAATACCTTAATCTTTTTCAAGACTGACAGAGGGTAGAGATTGAAAAACTCCAAATGTCTCTTGATTTGTTCTCGTCCATAAGCCCTCTTGAGTTTGTTGCCCATTTTTATTGTGGGTTATTTTATCTTGCGGCTTGAAGGGACAGTTTTTTTATTCTGTATATGTAGCTTTACATTCTGTAGTAATATTTCAGGTAGCTTCTTGGAGGAGTGACGTAAATTCATATACTAGCATTTCAACTTTATCTTTTGGTTTTAGGAAAATATTAAGGTTTATTTTTTGGGCGTATTTCTTTATTAAACAGATTCCAGTCAGTCTTATCATTGTGCAGTTTCGCTGGACGTTTCTTCTCAACAAATCTTAAATTTAGCATCGCTTCTACTGGGGTATAGTCTGAAGCAATTTCGTAATTAAAAACAATATTTAGGTAGCCTTCTACAAAGTCTTTGCTTGCAAAGAAATCAAGAGAGTCAGGAAGTTTACTAAGGTCACTGGGCCAGTAAGAAGATGTGAAACTAGACAAATGGTTGAGCTGTAGAGTAGCTGTAGCTGTAACTTACTTGAAAAAGGATTTTACCTCTTACATGTTTTGCATTATAGTTAGAACTGACAAAAATCTATTAACTAGTGAATTAAAAATGATTCTTTATTCGGTAAAAAATTTGGCGGGAGATATTCTGTAGATATTGCTATTGGTCCAAGCTAATCTTCCATAAAAATACTTGCTTCCTGCAGATGCAGATTGCATTGATTCGTTTAATAGATTTTGGTCTTAAAATCATCAGATATAAGAAAACTTGAAATTTGGATGAAGAGGTTTGTGGATTTGCCTGTTGTTTTCCAAATTGGAAGTATCTTGGCGTATAGATGATATAGGTTATTATTAATTATTTTCTGTTCACTTACTAGAGCATCCTGGGGAAATCACGTGATGTTATTTCTGATAGGTTTGAGAGGTCATCGGAGTGAAGTGCATTTTAATGATCCGATTTTGATACTCATAGTGCTCTGAAACTAAGAATTAACATGCTGATATAATGGCTGTTAATCCATACTAGAGAATATTGTTGGACCGCAGAATATCACAGGCCCATGCTTAACCTCACAGGCAATCAGTCTGTTACAGGAAACAGGTCACAGGAAACAGAATAGTTAAACAATAATCGATTGCAAATGAAATGTAACATTGATAATGTTATTCATTAATAAATTTATCCTATATCCTTCAATTATATTAGATTTTTTGTGCTTTATTTCGTTTATAGTTAAAAACTTTAGAAAAAAACTAACAATCTAAAATACCTACCGGGTGTAACAGCAGTTTTCTTGCGAGAAAACCGTGAACTAGCTATTCCAAAAGGGACTTTTAATTTCGATATAGAGTATTTCCTTGGAGAAAATTGGTACGCTGTGGCAGAAGGTGTATTTGAATATTCGTACTTAAATCTCTTGCTTCTGCTTAAAAATGCCGTTGACTTAAGAGGAGGGCAAATTCTGCAAGTATCTCCGTTGTCGATATTGTATGTGCCGGGTGCAGGGTAGTTCTGGAATGTAATGTTAAAATTTGGATAATAAAACAGTATTAAATTAAGAAGAAAATACACTTACACTAAATAGAGAATACAAATAAAAACGATAGACATGAATATACAGGGTATTTCAATTTACAGCAGAGAAAAAATTATATATATAATTTAGCTCTCCAGACCTAGAAGGCCCATGGCTTGGTTTACTATTTTTTTCCATTTTTTTCTGTTTGTTGCTTTATTTTTACCATTCTTCTGTTCTGTTCTTCGGAGTGTTACTTTTACCATTCTTATCAGTTTTTCACTAATTCCAATTTCACGTAGTGCTTTGTATATTTCTTTGCGTTTTATCCTATCGAACGCTTGTTTAAAGTCGATCAATAGGTCCATTGTAGGTTTCCCATGTTCGTAGCTTTCTGCTTGTATTTCGCGCATTAGCAAAATTTGATCCACTGTGCTGCGCCATCTTCTGAATCCACATTGATTTTCTCCTATGTCATTATCTATATTTTGAGATAGCTTATCTTTTATATATACTGTAAGTATTTTATATGCAACATTTAGTTGACCCATTCCTCTGCAATTGTGGCATAAACTTTTGTCGTCTTTTAGCAACTTTTCCAAATGCTTAATTAGTACTGGTCCTCCATATTTAAACATGTCAGCTGTTACTTCATCTCTTCCTGGGCTCTTATTATTCTTTAGTTTCTCTATTATTTCTTTTATTTCTTTTTCGTTAGGCGGTCTTTCCTCTATTCGTTCTTGATCGACATTTTCTTTCACTTCCTCTTCCTCTTCATATTCTGTTGTGGGAATTTCATTTAAAAGTTCTTCAAAGTATTCTTTCCATCTGCTCAATATTTCTTCGTCACTTACTAAATTTCTTCTACTTTTGTTTTTGTAGTGTACAGGTTTTCCTTGGTACCCCTTTTTCTCATTTTTCGCCCCTTGATATAAGTTTTTAATTTCTCTATTTTTATAGCTCTATTCTATACATTTTAATTTATCTTCATTGTATTTTTTTTCTTTGATCTTATTATTCTTTTGGCTCTTTTCCTTTGTTCATTATATTTTCTCTCTATCTCTGTTGTGTTTTCTGGCATCATTTTTATTCTTAATTTATTTCGTTCATCTAGTTCCATTTTACATTCATCGTCGAACCATTCTTTGTATTCGTGTTTTATATTTCTTTTACTGGCCTGAGCTTCTTTGCTCATACATACTTTTATTTGCATCCATGTTTCTGCAATACTTTCTGCAATGTGTGAAAAAGGAAAGGAGAAGTGCAATTGTTTACAAAAAAAAAACAGGGATTCACTTTTTTATATATTTAAATAAAAAAACAAATGGAATGCTCATAATACAAAAAAAGACTACGTGTATGGACCGACCTAAATTTCAAAAAAGAAACGAAAATTTATAACACATGTAAACAGAGCACAAATACTAATGAAAAATATATGATTTACTTACAGTGATGGACAAACAATAAATGAGATTGACGCAGGACAAAGAATGATGGAAGCTATTAACAGATATTTATATTCATCTAACTATCTAAGGGTCAATGAATAAATGTTGACAAGGAGATACGCATCATAGCAAAACATTATAAATTAGATTTTAAAGGAATTAAATTTCTTGTATTCCCAAAATATTCCCAAAACAAAAATCCGACTAATGAATAAAAATTAGACAAATTAAGACGAAAGCCAAAATGATTAACCCAATTTCTTCGGGCATGCATTAAATAAATCGCTTTTTAGTGTAATTTACCGATTAAATTAAGACCGAAATCCCTCAAGAGTGTCTCCTTGTCTCTCCGAGGCAAATATTTCAAGTAATTTAGACTTCCTCTCACTTTCGCTGACAATTATCGGACGGTTTATTCCCTGCATTTCTGAAATATGTCACATAATTCATCTTAATTATGTCACTGGAGCTGAAGAATGACAAAATTTCCATATAGAAATATACCAGGGGCGCAAAAATGTTTTTTGATGCAAGACATAGTGTGAAGTTTTCCTCCATCATTATATAAAACCATATTTGTATAAAATAAAATACAGTAAAACCTCAATAGAAAGGACTACTTGGGGGAGGGGTGTTCGTTAAAGCCGAAAGTCAGTTATATAAAAATATGTTTTTTTTTTGAAAATATGTATTACACTATACTTATAGTTTATTTTTATGAACGAGAGAGTAATTAGCATAATTTTAACTGGTATCTCCGACCACTTCATGGGCGTGCTCAAGATTAATTGAAAAATTACTTTGAATAATTGTAAAAAATAAATGAATTATTTCAGTGTTATAAAGTGTTATGTGTATGTAAACAAAAGTGACCTCTTTTATCACACACTATATTAGAACTGACGGGCCTACATTAAAAAGGGTTTTAAAAAATTCACATTTTTTTTTAATTTTTAAAAATTACAAAAGAGAAAAAGAATTTTTAAAACCGTCTAAGGTATGTTAAATAGATGAATAAAAATATTAATATAAAACTTACAGCTACTTGTTACAAATCCAAATCAGATTCAGAAGATGAACTTTCAGAACCAAGATTTATAATAACTGGCTCGATCATTTTATCAGTAATATTGTCCAGCTTCCACATTTTTTCCTCTTCTTTAATAGTGTGATTTACTGCCTTTTCCCAGTTTTCAGGTTTTACCTTATTTACGACCTCCAAAAACAACTGTTTAACATTATCAATTTTAAAAGCGGTATTTTTTCTTGAAACTTCACTCTTTATCTGTGCCAATACCAGATCAATCGGGTTTAATTCACAATGATATGGTGGGGATCTAAGTACTGTCATTCCACGATTTTTGGCAATTTCATCAATTTCGTATTTTTTAAATTTTTCTTTATGAAGGGCACACAACGAATAAAGTTCCTTTCGGGATGGTACGTAATATTTTTTGAACTCAGCCAATTCTGCAAGTCTTTTTTTAACCACTTGGTTGTGGGCAGTCCTTCTATAAGTCTGGAGTGATAACTTGCATTATCCATTACTATTACACAGTTCTTAGGAAGAAGATCTACCATTTGTTCGAACCATTCTTGAAAGACATCAGCGTTCATGTCTTCATGGTAGTCACCGGTATGAGTTGATTCAAAAGTTAATAAACCACCTTCAACAAAAACCGTCTGAACTGCCAATGTGTATTATTATCAGCCTGCGTCCCTTTCCTGATGGTGGGTTTAAACCAGTAGATAAGTTATTTACAAAAGCGTGCCTTTGACTTGTAACAGTTTCATCCTGCCAAAATTTATTTGGTGTATGACCCTCGTTGATCCATGTTTCATCAAGATAAAATATTTTTCTTTTTTGGTTTCTCATTTCCTTTATGGTTCTTAGAAAATGTCTTCTCCATATGACAATATCGCTTCTTTCTAATAAAATAGACTTTCTGGGATTCTTTTTCCAGCGGAACCTATTTCTTTTAAAAGTTTCCATAACGTACTACGACTCATTTCTGGGTAATCCTTATCATCTCGCACTGAGACAAGAACTTTATCCAATGTTGGAAATTCTTGTCTAAAGAAGAATTCATGCACTTTCCGTCGAAGTCCTTCTTTAAAATGATATTCTATTTGAAATTTTGGTTTCCCTGGAGCATTACGTGGCATTTGAAAACTACCACATTTCTCTTCTTTAATAACTCTGTAAATCGTAGATTTCCCAACACCAAGTGTACTGCTAACTAACTCAACGCTCTCATCAACACTTTCACATAAACGTTTGTCTGTAAATGATTTAAAAAAATTAAATATTAATGTCTTTTCATTAACTGTTAAAGGACCAATTTTTCGGCGTTTACACGGCACTTCCAAATTTTCCATAACACTAGTATACACAATAAACTGCACCTTGCAACTGAAGTACCTACTTTTAGTGAACTGTTAAGAATTTTGAATACGCCACTTGGACCTTCCTACAAAATGGAAAAACCCACTATCACATTTTCTGTGGAATAAGTTTAGAAGGTAATTATCTAGTCAATTACTGTCGTAGATTCCTGGAATTAAAGAATTAAATGTTTGATTGTTGAAACCCTTACTTCGTGGAATGCACTCATTTCAGATAAAATAAAACGTTTTATTTTATCTAAAGAATCAAACTTTATTTTGCAAATAGGTAGGTACTTATTAAACTTTTATTGGTTATATATAACCAATAAAATAAACATCTTACATTTCTTGCAAATTCATTAGTACCTGTTAACCGACTCCGACACTGGCAACCTTATTTAGGGATTAGTAACCCTCACAACTATTGTATTCTATTCTGCTCCAACCTTTAAACCTGGTGGTCATACTCAATTTAAAATTGTTTTCCTATATACTTCTGTAAACTTGTTGACAAATATCTGTTTTTCATTGAGTCACGCGTATCAACAGTTTAGGGATTTGCATACATAATTTATTGTTTTATTACTCTCTCATACATAAAAATACACTATAGATATACATAAAAAATACAAAATACAAACAAAATTCTATTAGTGTTCTAAGTGTCTTCAGACGTTCGTCGTGAAATGACGTTGCTATTGATATAGACTCGCTTGATGTCGGTAATTCTGTTTTAAAAAAGGAATCAAGTTTCTTTTGCACTTTCGATGTTTGCTGTTTTTTTATGATAAACTCTTACATCTGATAACTTTTATTTTGGCGGTGTTGTTTTGCCGTCTTCTTTGCTATCTCTTCGCTATCGTTTATAACTTCATCTGCTATTTCACTTTCAGTCATGTTATATTCATGGTTACCCTCATCTACTGTAACGTTATAAATGTCACATCTTTATTAATTTATATTTAAATAATTATTTCATCCGGTAGACTAAATATTCTGTTCTATGTTGACAGAGGAGCTTATTCCATCATAGGCATACGTAATATGAAGTGTCATACTTTCTGTCAATCAACTTTTCTAACGTAGTGGGAATATAATTTTTTGCCTGTTTTTGAAATTTATAAAAGAAGGTAAAAATTATTATAAGATTCATTCTATGGTCTGCAGAAATTTGTTGTGTTTATTGTCTGTATTTATTGGCTGTATTATTGGGTTTATTAGCTGTATTGAAGATTTTATGGGATATTTTTGAAACCACCTAATTAGGAGTCCACACAAATTTAATATGGAATAACATGCTCTGAAAGACCTAATTACCTAATTGGGAGGCTACAGATAATTGGTAGCAAGCAGCCCGTCGATGCCATGATGCCATAAGTATCGCCAAATTTTATTACTATAAAGCGTTGGCAGGGTTATCTGTTGCTACTTAAACATTTTTTTAATTGTCCAAAATGTACAAACTGTCTATGAGAGTAATAACTAATAGGTTAACGTAGAAGCTCGATAGCTATCAACCGGTAAAGCGGGCAGGATTCCGAAAGGGTTACAATACAGCGGAGTATCTTCTTACAGTCAGAACTCTAATAGAGAAAGCCAATGAATATCACTTGAACCTATACATTGGCTTAGTTGATTATGAAAAGCATTCGACTCCATAGAACTTTGGGCAATAGAGAGAGCTATGAACAACTGCAGGATAGACTCTCAATACAGAATGCTCATACATAATATTTACTAGAAAGCTACAATGAAAATACAATTGGTGCGAAAACCAAAGCTGTACCAATCAATAGAGGAGTTTGCCAGGGAGATGTTAACTCACCAAAGCTATTCACACTTGGACTGGAAGACGTGTTCAAAGACATTAACTAGGCAGATAAAGGAATAAATGTTAATTAAAGAAAACTGACTCATTTAAAATACGCTGATGACATTGTAATATTCGCTACAAGTTTCGAAGACCTACAGGCCATGATGACGTAACTATTTCAAGCTTCTGAAAAAGTAGGTCTTAAGATGAACTTGGAAAAAGCAAAAATAATGACATAGACACCGAACATTAGAGAAATAACATTGACCGACATAAATTTAGAAGCAGTAAGCGAATGCATCTACCTGAGACAGATAATGAAAGTTAAACGCGAAAACGTTGGAACGACAACTTACTGAAGGTACATTGAAAAACAGACAGAGTCATGTTTACATAAAAAGAAGAAGAGGAAATATTCGACATGCAACTGAAACATTGAAACGACAACTTACTGAAGGTACATTGAAAAACAGACAGAGTCATGTTTACATAAAAAGAAGAAGAGGAAATATTCGACATGCAACTGAATCTCCAACACTGTTTAAAATATTGAATTTTTTCACTATCGTCTAGTTCTAGTTCTCTTTTAAAATTCTAAATTTAAATATAAATATAAATTTAAATTTTATATAAAATGTATAACTAAACGTATTTGAACTTACATTATTTCTAGTGATCATTTCTTGCTTGTCCATATATCGCGGAAGGAAAGTATATAGACGCGCCATCTCGCGGAATTCCTCGTCTTCTTGGTTGCGCCGACACGTAGGTATCGTTAGAGAATAGTCCGCCGGTCCAGGAATGTTCGTGTCTATTTTGTAGGAATCTCTTTTTGTCTTGCTGCAACGCCAATCGATGCCTCTGTATTGCTTTTCGTAACGCGATTTCTGAAAAATATTCTAGTATACACGGTGCTCAAAAAGTTCTGTGTCTAGCCAGTATGTTTCGAGTCAGTAATATATAAAAATCAAATCAAATTGGTAATCATTAAATAACTACAGTGAATTCTTTCTTAAAGGACACCTGTTTTATATGGACAATTTTTTAAACAAAAATCAGTCAGATGTACCCATATCTTAGTTTTATAGGGAAGTAAAAATTTATAGTTTTAAAAAAATCGCCATCAATGATTTTATGGGTGTGTTAAAAGTCAGATTTAAATGATCAAAATTTTCTTTCTTAAGGATACCATTTATACAGGTTATGTGGAAAAACTGGTGTCCGTTCAAGAAAGAGTCCGCTGTATTAACTAGTAACAGTCGATGGAGTATCTTACTTGCAACATGTCATAAAACGCTGGACCCAATGTAGTATCATGATAGGTGGGAGGAAGTGGCTTGACATCTCCAAAAGGATTCATAGAATAACCATTAGCATTACGCTTAGTGGGGACCGAAGGTCCGGATCCAACAAGGGTGTAGGGAACTCGACAAACATATAGTTTTTTTACTTTTTCGTGATCTACAGCATAATATATATATATATATATATATATATATATATATATATATATATATATATATATATTATTGAGATATTTAAAGTCTTGGTTTAATTAGTTAGCTAATTAATTAATTAATTAATTAAAATTATTTTAATGATATGACTATGATTTTATCACAATTTTTTAATTCTCTTATCTCAGGGTTAAATTCGTGCTTCAATATCTATGCTATTACATGTGAAAGGTAAGGTCCAAAGAATACCGGAATAATAAAAAAAAACATATAGGATCTAACATTATATATTGAAATAAAAATAATGAAATAAAATTCACACTCAAATGTTTTCAATAAACAATATCTTATATAATGATTTTTAAAATTTTGTTCTACGAACGTGAACCTTCAAAATTAATGGTACAAACAATATTAGTTGAAATCTCAAAATCCAAATATTATTCTAAATCTCCTAATCAAAATACATATTTATATCCTTTCTAAATTAAGTGAAAAAATTTGTGTTATCAATAAAAGAAAAACTGCAGAAAACAAAACTATCTCTCTCTGATGATGAGTGGTCCAAATCCTTGTTCCTTGTAGACTATACTATTTACTCGTAGCCGCTCCCTAGGTAATCAGCAATCTTACAACAAATTATTGCAAGTCTATCGTCCTTAATGATCTCCTTCAAATGCACGAATCGTTCAAATTATGCTAGCTTCTTCTTCTCTCAATAAACTGAATCTCTCGTTGGCCTGAGTGAAAAATGACTCTTGGAAAATCTTTTCTTTACGATAAACTGAATCTCTCGTTGGCCTGAACAGTGACTCTTGGAATATAAGTAGAAAATATAACTTACAATCTTTTACTGGATCAGCTTCTGTCAGATACACTAACTACACGAAAACTCACAAACTTTCACTGCTACTGCTTCGTACCTCTGGGAAACTACCCAAGAACAACGGCCGTTCGCCTTGCACCCTTGGAAACCAACTGACTATCTTTTTTTCTTCCGAAACTAACTAACGTCTCATTCGCAAACCAATCATCCCACCTTTTTTCAATTTCATCCAATCAAAACGCGTCATCCATCCCCATTTCTTCATTTCGATAACAAACAAATTTTTACCTATAATTATAAAATTTCCTAAAACTTATTTACAAATAATATTTTTCTACAATTCTTAAAAACTAACAAAAACCTATCTTTCTAAAATCTATTCTATTGTCCTAATCAACTGCACTAATGTGTTTGGAAAACCCGGTTCAATTGTCTTTTATTTCACTTAAGCTTATTCACGTCATACAAATATATTTTAACAAAGAAAATAATTTATGCATAGCTTACGTTTTGTTTAACACAGGTAATCCAAAATTAAAAGACTTTCATTCTTCGAAATGTTTGTAGTGTATTTTTTGACTTATCTGAATTATTTTAATGTTTTGAACTTTGAAATATTTTTAAACAAACCGATATTTTCTTGATTTTACATATCATAACAATATATATATATATATATATATATATATATATATATATATATATTACGTGTTAATGGATTAAGTTCAACTTTAATGATCTACTTTATGATTATCATTTAAAATATAGAGAAAATATTGTAACATTTTATCTTAAAAGAAACAAGCAGGAGAAAATAATTTCAGATATCAGGAAGAAAATATAAAAACAATGGAAAGTCAGCGATAATGATAAATATCCAAATATGGAATGTCCTAAAAAGTATGTAGGGCAACCAAAAAGAATGCAATGTAAGCAAGCAATGTGAGAAGATAATGAAAATAACGAACTGGACAACAGCATGAGATATCTAAGAAAATATCTGAAAAATGGAAATATTTCAGTAAAACAAAAGAATGATTAAATTTGTATGGGATTTTTACATAAATAAACTTCTCTACTCTAATATAAACATAATTGAGAAAGAGTATTAAACAGAGGGTCTTAGGGTTAAAATGAGAAAATCATTGGATTTGGATATCTCTATCTATCTATCTATACAGACCTTGCTGTCCAATTTTGGACATAGACCTCCTCTTCCTTCTTCAACGTCTCTCTATTGTAGGCAGTTTGTATCCACTTCAGGCCTGCGTGTTTCTTCAAGTCATCTTACCATCTCATTTGTGACCTTCGTCTTTTTCGTTTGTAACTAGACGGTCTCCAGTGTATAATCATTTTATTCCATCTGTCGTCTTTCTGTCTTATGGTATGTCCAGCGAACTTCCACTTAAGTTTTGCTATCTGCGTTGATACATCGGTCACTTTTGTTTTGTTGCGGATCCAAGTGTTTCTTTTCTTGTCTGATAACCTGATGTTCAGCATTTGCCTTTCCATGGCTCTTTAGGTCCTTGCTATTTTTTTTCCATATTTTCCTTTGTAAACGACTAAATTTGAGAACCGTAAGTGCAAACAGGAAGTATACATTGGTTGAAGACTCGTGTTTTTAAATATTGGGGGTATTTTATATTTTTTAGTATATAGGAAAATTTTCCGAAGGATACCCAAGCCAACCGTATCTTTCCCTTTATTTCTCCGGTCTGAATTTCTTTATTTGATTTAACTAGTTGTCCCAAATATACATATTCTTTTATTTGTTCTACAGTTGTTTGTGCAATTGTAATTATTAATTCTTCTGGTTGGTTGGTCATAATTTTCGTTTTAGTATAATTTATTTGTAGACCTATTTATGTTAATTCCCTATTTAATTCATCCATCATATTTTGTAATTCTTCTCTTTTATCTATCATTAATACAATGTCATCTGCATATCTTAGGTAATTCAAGTATTGGCCACTTATGTTAATACCCCGTTTTTTCCTTTGTAATTTCCTCATAACATCTTCCAAAGCTTGTCACCCTGTCTGACTCCTAGCCGTATCTTAATAGGCTCCGTTAGTTTAACTATTTTAATGGATATTGTTGCTTGATGATATATATTGAAAATTAAATCCGATATCTATAGTCTATTCTCCCATTTTGTAAAGAGTTCTTTACTGGCCAATGTTCCACCTTATCAAATGCTTTTTCAAAGTCTAGAAATGTCATATACATTGGGATTTGATATTCGTTGGCCTTTCTTAATTGATCTTTTTATCGTAAGCAGATGGTCGCTTGTACTGAATCCTTTTCTAAAACCGGCTTGCTCTCTTGACTAGTAATTATCTAACTTAGTTGTTAATCTGTTTATTAGTAGTTTAGTTACAGTTTGTACTTTACATTAAGTAGCGTTATGGGCCATTAGTTGTTCAGATCTTTTCTATCGCCTTTCTTAAGATTTTGATATATATTCCATAAATTAGAAATGATTTATAAGGAAGAAAATCTTTTGCCTACAAAATAATAAAACAAATCAATATAACAGAGGAAGGTATGTCCCCTAGGAAATAATTTTTCTTCTTTAGGTGCCCTGTCCTCCAAGAACATTGTAGTCACTGATATTAAGAATTTCTCATCACTTGGGCACATTACTCCAATTTGTAATGTAAACATGGCAAGAAAGTAAAGAATTAAAATGAGGGTTAGTAGCATGGGGGAGAATGATGGTCATTTTAATGATTATTATATATCCCAAATCAAATAAGGGATAATTAATACAGTAAAGTATACATTTTAAATTACACAAAGAAATTGACCTAGTTAGTGCATTGTTTCATAGTTGTTTAAACGTAGAAAAAGCACGTCAAACAAAAACTGTTGTTGTAAAAATAACACCGCTCGTGACCCAAATGAAGCATAGAATCACTAACTCAGCGAGAACGCAACCTTGGTACTACAACCGGTCAATGCGGACACGCGTTGATAAAAACCAAACTAAGGAGGCCAAGCGGGAGTAGTACGGCGGAAGCGATCAGTAATAGCGGGGCACCGGGACTGGCCGCTCAGGCAGTATTGCCGGCATCGGGTCGGACGCGACAGCGTCCCGTACGCACAGGCAGTTGGTGTCTTCGGGCAGGGTTGTTAATACGAGAGTCGGCACAAGGTGCGGATTATGCGCGATTATTATATTTCGACGGGGTATAGTTCCGTATAAGTGTCGGGTACTGAAAGAAATCCGATTTCCAGAGGAACTGAAGGGCGTATCATTAGCTAGAGCCTAAATACGCGAAAAGTAACAAAATTCTATATACTAACCCGAGTAAATTATAGTATTACAGATTGTCACCCCTTTACTTTCTTGCTAAGATCTCTTTTCGTCTCCCTTCGCAACGAACGAGTTATTATTTATATCTGACAGTTTTTTAACTTAATTGTAAACCACATAGTATATTCAATACATTTGTAGACTCTAAATTTTGGTTTTATATTCCTTCCGATCGATTCAGACAGAGACCAGAAGAGTACCAAATTTCGGCTTATACATTTATCCGGCTTCTAAAGTAAGCCCATAGACTCAAACTCTTTACAGGACCTGAGACCTAGAAGTCCTTAACCCCTATTCCGAAGTTCCTTACCTTCTCGTAAATCCACGAAGGCGAGCCAGCCCTCCAGACTAGTGGGACCAGTATTCCTTGCAGCCGCTCGCAGGGATAAGCTTCCTTTAAGGTTCATTACCAGTATATTACAGTGGAAACAGCGTTGTACAGTGGTGAAGATTTTCTCACCCTCTAGTTCCAGATGTAACAATAGGGTATAAACCTCTATCGAGGATGGTACAAATTTTAGGGCTTCGGAACCTAGCTTTCTTTGTTTAGACGCTGTAAAACTGCTTCTTTCGTCATACTGTCCATCCATAATATCACAACATTCAACTGTACACCTATATCTTTGAAATCTAAAGTGTTTTACATATAGAGTGCTGAAGACATAACAATATTATATCCGAATTCTTAAGAGCATTTTTAGCTCTTTGTTGGTTTTGTTTGTTCATATCTTTTGCATTTTCTTAAATTATGTTTTGACTTGCTCTATTCTGTTTTAGGGTTTACAGAGATGAGTCCCACTTTTTATTTATTCAACAGCCCAAATATTTGTGGTTTCCACCATTTCTTCATTTTTTCTAATATCGGTTAGATTAGACGTTAATAATGAACAACAACTGATGAAAGATAATGAGGATTTGCAAACGAATGAATACTACAGATCTCGGCATGGATTTTTGTAGATTTAAAAAGGTATTTGACATGCTGAAATTGTTTACTGTTTGTCAGCTTTGAAAGAGTGTGAACCGATAACCTATGTTATCTATGTGGCAACATACTATTGCTTAATAAACACGCTAAGATCCTTAACATCGCTAATATTGATATCAAATGTAGAATTCTACTAATAGATTGCATGTAACTAAAGCTGTTTTTCAGCACGCCTTTAAAATATTAAGCCAGAAAGATAACAGCATACGAGGCAAAAGACTTAATTCTATATTCGACTTACCGATCAAGGTTACCAACTTTCAAAAGCTACACAGAAAGTAGCTTTTTGTTTTGTTGAAATTTACAGAAAAATCATCAGTCATTTCCAATATAGACGAATGTAAAAGGGAAAATATATCATAAAAAAGCTATAGCAAAAATTATTGTACAACAAAAATAAAAAACTACCAGATAGCCAAACGATTTAAAGAGAATAAAAAAATCGGCAAAGTAACTGCTTCAAATAAAAATGTACCCGGTAACAGTCACATTAACTCATTCTCATTCATAATAGTGAATATATGATATTGATTATTGCTGCTTATTGTCCATTCTTTAGCTCAACTGGATATCTGTTAAAATATTCATTCAATAAACTGTCAAAGTACTTTTTCCATCGTTTTTTGACATTCTTTTCGTAAACAAATTTGAAAATAAAATAATATGACACTTATTCTTGCCTTGTGTTAAACGGTTGTGAGCTAACTTAATTTGGTTTATGTAAACCCAAAGAAATTTATGTAAATAGGCACGCAATGATTGAAAGTGCCGATTATTTGATTGATGATTTTTTGTTGTTTGTGAACTCACATAATATAAAAATAAGATAATCTTAATTATCTGATAACAAGCTAATACATTTTAAACTAGATTATAATATTTTTTTCTAAAATATGGACTAAAGACGCCAACGCACGTTTTCAATATAGGCTTACGATATTTTTGAGCCATTTTGGTTAACCCTTTAAACATACCTGCAATTCTATCCGCTTGTGTCATACATTTGACAGGTTTAACGTCATATGCTTCTGGTCCAGGGGATATGTTGTCGATCTTGGTTGTTCTAGAAGCTGTATACTGTGGAGAGCAGCCCAACTAGGAAACAAACAAATTATTATTCACTATTTTTTTACACCAGTCGCACTTTAGCTGATTCCCCTATTACATTTCTTTTATTTCTTTCTTATCCCATATCAGAATTTTAAAACCCTTTACCATCACTCAAAATATTAATAATCGTGGAGATATGTAAAATGTTAAACAACAAAAGTAACACACCACGGATAATCGAGTACCACCAGAAGAGATAATCGAATTGGAGCAATAACAGATCCCTAAACCTAAACCCTCCAACAGATGATATTAACAGCTTTAACAATACAATTACTAAAACAGTCACATATACTCAAGATAAATTCTATGGAAGACTTTATCAAGCCCTTGATACAAAGATGAATAACAAAAAATACAAAAAGAAAGCTGGAAGGTTTTGAAAGAAAAATGCTAGGGTAGATATTTTTCCAACGAAAACTGTTTGATTGGTAAGATTAAAAATTCAGTAACTTGTTCTAAGCGACTTACCTTTTTATGTTTTGCATCATCTGGAAGTTGATAGAAGGTACTACAGAACGATGGGTTCAAATATGAAGGCTCTAATCTGGATGAACTTAAAAAAGGAACTCGGTTACCTAAAAAATATGTATATAATCGTAATATAAATTACCACGTAAATGAGCGGGGAGTACTTGAAAGATTTGCTTAATGTTAAAAGTCAGGAGAGATGCGAAATGCTTCAATTGATTACATAAGAGAAGATCAAGGATAAGTTAAGCATAGTAAACAGAGGATGTTATGGCTGCATCTTCTTCTTCTTCAGATGCAAATCCACTAATGGATGTTAGCGATCACATTTTCCATTAATTCTCTATTTCTTGCAATATGTATCAGAGATTGTATGTCGTTAATCCCTGTCCATTGCCTTATGTTTCGGAGCCAGGACATTTTCTTGCGTCCCATTCCTCTCCTGCCTTCAATTTTACCCTCGATTATAAGTTGGAGGAACTGGTATTTTTCATTTCGCATGATGTGACCTAGATACGCCGTTTTCCTTTTCTTGATGATTTCGAAAAGTTGGCGTTCTTGGTTTATTCTTTTAAGGACATCTATATTTGTGATTTTCGCTGTCCATGGTATTTTTAGGATACGGCGATAAAGCCACATTTCGAAAGCTTCTAATCTGTTTATATCACTCGTTTTGAGTGTCCAGCCCTCTACGCCATATAGCAGCACTGACCATACGTAGCACTTAGTAAACCTTAGTCTCAGTTGAAGATCAAACTCTGAACAAGTCAGTACTTTCTTGAATTTTACGAAAGCTTGTCGAGCTTGCTCAATGCGACATTTTACTTTCCTGTCTGATGCCCAATCTTCAAAAAGCCACGATCCCTGGTATTTAAATTTACTCAATCTTTCAATGGACTTAGTATTCAGTGTTACGGTGGAGTTTTCAATTGCATCTAAGTTTCTGGAGATGATCATAAATTTGGTCTTTTTGGTATTAATCTCTAATCCCATTTGCTTACTGTATTCTCCGATTATAGTGACAAGTTGTTGAAGATCGACTATGTTGTCACAAATTAAGATACCATCATCAGCATATCGTATGTTGTTGATCAATACTCCATTCACCTTGATTCCCATCTCTGCATCCTCCAAAGACTCTTGAAATATGGCTTCCGAATAAATGTTAAATAAAAGAGGGGAAAGCACACATCCCTGTCGAACGCCTCTTCTTATATGTATGGGTTTGGATATAGAATTGTCTATTTTTAACTGTGCCGTTTGATGCCAGTACAAGTTTTCAATGCATCTTATGTCTTTTTGGTCTTTATCAACTTTCTTGAGAATTTGCATTAACTTGTGGTGTTGGACACGATCAAACGCTTTTTGGTAATCTAAAAACCATAGGAACACATCCTTCCTCTGATCGTAACAATTTTGGACTCTGAAATTGAGGAAATGCTATGGATGTACATCAATAGAATTATTCAGAGTAGCCATATCTTCAAGCAGCCATGATGATTGCGAACCTCTGTCATTGCTGTGATTACTGCGGAAATGGCGTGTAAAGAATAATAAGCTAGGCAAGTCGGATGATAAAAACCTTCAAACTCGTCAAGGTTTCCTGTATAATCTTTTTATCTCTTTCACTATATTTTTCAGTTTTTTTATTAGTGTCCGAAACTCTCTGTACTTTTTTAAATGAAATGAAATAAATGAAATTATACTATAGAAAACTTACTGAGCTGTGTTTTACATATGACGGTGTACGTATTTGGTCCAATTAAACCTGAGGTTTGTGATTTCCAGGGAACACCAAATCGGGTGGTTTTGTTATGCATATTTAACAATTCTTTAAAAAATCATACAAAGTTTGTTGTTAAGATGATACTGGAAATTACTGTTTCTTTCATTAATTTTAAGTATTATTGGTTTTCTTTAAGAATAATCTGACATTGACAATTAGATTAATGTAAGACTTCAATAAAATTGTCAAACAGTTTGATTGTCAGAATATCAATACATTAGTAAGGCTTCGTTCGTATGCGTTCTTTATCAACGACGACAGTTAAAATATCGTTGAAATGAAACAAATAAGTATTCGAGTAATTATTCACACGCAAGGTTTTTAACGAGATACGATTTGGAAGATTACTAATTGACCCCAGACCCCATACATGAAAAGTCCCGCCGTGTCGTCTATGTTTAAGCTCATCACACTTCGCTTATTTATTGCTGGCACTACAAATATCTAAAGATTAATTATCGACAAATTTTGACTTCACATTCTTATGCTGGATTTGTCGATGGCCTTGATTACGTTAATTCGTTACGCATGTTTTTATGCGTAACATAACCTCTTCCTCAATTTGTGCCACAAACACTGTGTCTTTAGCAAAGGAGAAAATGAAAACGTAGCTTCATTTTATCATATACCTCCAGCTTACTCATCTTAAATCATTTTTAATGTATGTGCACTATATAAATTAAACCAACAACCTTAACAACCTATAGGCTTAGTATTAACATAATTTATGCAAGCTTTAACAATTGTAGCATTATTTCTCTCTTGTTCAGTTTTTAAGTAAATTGTTTTTATGGATCTGGTGAAGAGCTCAATTTTTAGAGCACGAAATCGCTTGTCTTAGCTACTGCAACAATAAAACTCCAGCTTACATTGGGAGCATATTGTTTAAGGATTCGTCTAGCTCAGTCTCTTAGGACGAGAAAGTTAAGGAATCAGTTCAAAGACAACTGAACGAAAATTTAATTTAGGAAGATATTAGTGAAAACGTATTAGAAGCGGCTGGCATCTTCAATAAGAAACAAACTGAATTGCTACAGGATGAAAATGGTAAAGTAATATTTGAAGTAGAAGACAAACTTAAAGAATCGGAAAATAACGTCACACACCTATTCGAAGACGATAGGAGTAGTTCACCTCCTGATATTACTAACTGCGGCGGACCCCTAATAACACACTTTGAGGTTATAAAGGCCATACAATCATCAAAAGATAACAGAGTTACTAGTCCTGATGAAATTCCAACTGAAATATATAATCTTATAAATATAGCAATGTTTTAGAGGTTATAACTTCGTTTTTTTCGACAACAGCAAAAACCTGTACTGATTATAAAACCATCAGTTTGTTAAACCACTTATTGAAAAATTTTCTGAAGGTAATACATGGTCGTATCTACAATAAATGCGAGGAATAATTGGATGACACTCAGTTTGGTTTCCGTAATGGGTTTGGAACGAGAGAGGCACTGTTTGGAATGAACGTACTTAGTCAAAGATGTCGTGATATATCTGTAGACATATACTGTTGTTTTATTGACTTCCAAAGGGCATTTGATCGTGTTAACCACTCTATATTGATCGAAGCTCTAAAAGACATTGGCTTGGACGGCAGAGATGTTCGAATAATTGCAAATTTATATTGGAATCAAACAACATCAGTTTTAGTAGATGATGTGGAATCACAGGCTCTCAATATTAAAAGAGGAGTACGACAGGGATGCCTTTTGTCACCCCTGCTTTTTAACGTATACTCCGAAAGAATTTTCAGAAAAGCACTTTCTGAAAAACAAATAGGAATACTTGTGAACGGCGAAGTCATCAATAATTTGCGATATGCGGACGATACAGTACTCCTAGTTTCTAGTCAAGAAGATCTGCAAACACTACTTAATAGTGTCGTTGAGAGTTGTAGGGAGGTAGGTTTGGATCTTAACATAAGGAAAACCAAAATACAAGTTGATAAAATCGTTTACCTTGGACAGCAATTAAATTGTAACTCAGAAAGTCACGGCGAAAGTAGATCCAGGATAGAGCAGGCTAGAGCTGCTTTTAGAAGGATGTCCAATGTGATATGTAACACAGACCTAAAATTGGCATTAAGGATCCGCCTACTTCGTTGCTCGCTTCCTGTTCTCGCTCTAAAATCGATCTAAATCGCCTTGAGGATTTCGAAATGTGGTGCTATAGCAGAATTTTAAAAGTTTCCTGGGTGGAGAGGATTCGAAACTCCACAATACTAGAACGTCTCAGCAAGAATACTGAGATCATAAAAAGCATCAAGCAGAGAAAGCTGGAGTATTTCGGACATGTAATGAGAGGTCCTAAATATAGGCTGCGACAAAATATCATGCAAGGAAAAATAGCAGGCAAACGCAGTCCAGGACGAAGAAGAACCTCATGGTTGAAGAACTTGCGAGATTGGTATGGTGTTGATACAAGCATGCTATTTAGGGTGGCAGTAAATAAAATTAAGATAGCTATGAATAATGGTAACCAACGTTCTGAAAGGATGTGGTACATGAAGAAGAAGAAGTCTCTTAGGTGTCATGATCATCATCAACAGCTATTACAAGTCTTCTTTTTCTTTTTTTTACTTGTTCCACATCTCTGTCTTCATATGTGTAGTACTTTCTCTTGCCGCATTGATGAGATTTCGTAGATTTAGAATTTGTTCTGATCTTCTTTTTTTTTATACAAATCCGACACGACGTAAAGTATCTGTCCTTGGTAATTTAATTTAACCTTATACTGTGATCTACAAAAGATGATACTTGCGAAAGTCATCAATGTGATTAGTCTATTCAACTAACATTTGTCTGTACATGTAAATATAAGCAGTTCAAGCTAGTCTAGGCTAAATCAATCTCACTGACAATCAAACCTATAGTAATTTCTTATACATATACTTCTAAGCAACTTTATTCTGTTTTGTGTTTGTCTAATAAATGTAATTCCCAATTGTTTATGTTAATTATCAGAAATAGCTGCTTAATTATTTAAAGTCGTAAAAAAATTAAGTGTATATGATTGTAAAGAAAAATAACAATCGATTGGCATAACTCATAAATCACTATCAATTAAGAGAAGAATACTTATTCTCTGTAATGTTGTAGTTAATAGGTAGAAAGTCAGCATCGAAGCGCACAGTGGGCAATCCGACGACGAACGGAAAGAAAATTATTCTTCGACGCTAACCTGTAGATGCGCTTATCACAAAGTCTTATTTAGTTCTGCCCTCTGCATAGAAACAAACCCTCTTATTTAGAGGCTTATGGGGGGCGAAATTATCTGGCAATATTTCGAGTATAAGTCCAGTGCACCGTAATAAACTAAACAACTTTTAATCTTTAAGCAACTTCAGTCTTATCTACAAAATGGCGTTTGCAGCCCTGATTAATAAACTGATCTTTTAAAAACGTTTTGGCTTTTCTCGACCAATTTTAGAATAATTAAAGACAAGCGGTTTTCAGACTTGATAAATATATAAATTAGCCAATTTTAACATGGAAATTCAAATATCATTAAGAACAAATATTAAAAATATTAAAAATAACAAAACAAAATATATATAGTATTTAAGTAGCACTAAATAGTTCTTATAGTTGAAGCACTTTCAGCACTTGCCTTCAAGCCATCCTGCAAGGAAAAATATTTGGAAAGTGAGGTCCAGGAAGAAGAAGAAACTCTTAGTTAAAGAACCTCAGAATCTGGTTCAATACAACATCTGTGCAGATTTTCCGCGCTGCTGCAGATAAGATAAAGATTGCCATGATTATCGTCAACATTCGTAACGGATAGACACATCAAGAAGAAGAAGAAGAAGAAGAAATGGTTTTTAAAACATTAAGAAAACGTTGATTTATAGTCAGACCAAATTTTTCTGCTTCCTATTTTATTTTCGTAACCCTTATTTTTAGTTTTTTGCCCCTTACTGAGCAGAGACCTTGCCCATCATACTTGCTGATTCCATTATCTTAATTCTCGCCTGCTTCTTATTTTCTTTTTCTTGTCTAGAATCTCATACGCTGTTTTTTGAATACATTTTCGCAACTTCTTCCTTTCATTAATCACTTTTGATTTCGAAGATTGTTGCTCGAAATGTCCATCTTTGTATTGAATTCTTCAACTTTTTGTTTCTTGGAGAAAAATTTGCAATTAATTGCGATTTATTCCCAAAAAATAAAGTCAATATTTTAATTATTCTCGATACAATGCAAACATTGAAATGAAAAACAAGAATTATAAGAATTAACCATTCCTAATATTTTTATTAAAAAAATTATCTCGTATTTGGTATATTAAGATAAAACCAAATACTGCAATTAATTTATATCATTTTAATTAAGAGTGAGATGTATTTGTGTGTGATAATTATCACTATTATCACTTTTTTCACTTTTTAAAAGGATTAATAGATACCATGATATCATTGCTAATTTAAGCCATGATTATCTGTCGAATTAATGAGAAGAATATAATAAAATCAAGTATTTCACAATAAAATTTTTCATGTTATTATATATGACAAGTTTTTGTCTTTTTGGAAGAATGTGTCACTTAATACACTTAATACAATATTGTCTCAAAGTTTAAAATGGCTATAAAATTGTACGTTAAATATTTAACAATTGTAAAACGATTACCATTGCAACCTTATGGTTTAGATTGAGCTGCCACGGCGCAACTGTTTTAAAATTACGGTCTAAAACCGATTGTATTAACAACTATTTTCCGCTAATGCGTCATCAGTCAGCAGACTAATTTTCCCCTATTATAGTTTTCAACCGCTATTTTAAAACAGTTGCGTTGTGGGCGTTTAACCTCAGATACAGTGCTAGTCAAAAGTCCGTCCCCCTTCGTGTCTTTTGAACGGTCATAATAATTATAATAGTGAAATTTGGAGAACGGTAATAAACAGACATATGCTTCTTAACTAGTCATACGAAGTGACATAATAGTGACAGATGACGTTACAGCGCCACTGTGACAGATAATTTTAAATGGGACATAATTTTTCTGCGCTTCTCTTCTTCCTTGGGTTATCATTTTTCATCGTAGCCTGACCTGCTCTTCCAATTCTTCTTTATATTCTTCACCAAACCATTCTTTTTGTTTTTTCTTTGAGTTATCATTAGTACTGTGAATGTTTACCGCTTCTCTAGTTACATCTCTTG